AAGAATAAAAAAAAAAATTGAAAAAAAAAATACAGATATCAGGCAGAGATAAAAAAAAAAAAAGAAAAGAAAAAAAAAGTAAATAGGTAAATACAATAAACTCCTTTTTCTCCATTTCTAAATTATGTTTGATGTTGAAGCAATAATTATAACATTGATTCAGTTTTCAGTGTATGTGGAGGAAATATTTAACATAATCATATTATATGTGGAAAGGTAAAAGGACTTAAAAGGAGGTAGAGTTTTTGCACTTACCTCAAAATGGTAAATTTCAACACCAATAGTCTGTGATAAGTTATGTATAATATATAATATAGGATGGTAAATGATAGTGGGGTGGTGTGATCATAAGGGGTAGCATCTGAGAGATCTTTATGGTGATGAAATAGTTCTATATCTTGATTATGGTGGTGATTACATGTGATAAAATGGCATAGAACTATGCACACATGTTGTACCAATGTAAATTTCCTGGTTTTGAAATTGTTACTCATTATTCATAACTATAGTTATGTAAAATGCAGCCTTTGAGGGAACCCAGATGAAGAGTACACAAGACCTCTCTATACTGTTTTTGAAAATCCATAAGAATCTATAATTATCTCAAAACAAAAAGTTAAAACCACATTACTTAACCCATTCTTCACAAAAAAGCCCAAAAAGTATAAGAATATTTTGAAGAATTTCAACAAGTGCAGAAGGATCTGAAGCTTCCCAGAGACTGAATGAGGGTTGGGAGGGAAACATGGGGAGGGTCTTTTTGAATGTGTAACAAAAGGAAAAACTCTAAAAATCATATTCTAGAATGAATAATGTAACCTGAGGAAATGTGGAACTAGAAATAGGGCAGTGGGGTGGGAATAACATTGAGTCTATATTTCATCTCTGGGTCTTCTAGTAGCTCACTTAACCTCTCTGTGCCACCATTTCTTCACACAGAGCACAGCAAAGTTATCCACTCTAGATAATTTTCACCCTGTGCTGCCTGGAGAGTTCTTGCATAGGTCAAGGAGAAACCTCGGTGAAAATGCAGGCTGTTCTCTCTTATTTCCACCAGAGCAAATGTACTTTTGTCTGCTTCACTTATCAGTTATATGAATCAAATTTTATTTTAAAAAACAGACTGATATCTCTCACTACTCTATATAAAATAAAGATTATTATTCACAGTCTTTCAAATGGGGAAATAGAAATACAAGAAGATATATGACTTGTCACAAATCATACAGCAAGTAAGTGCATAGCAGAGCCTGGAGCCCACATGGGAATGATTGTCTACCTATCACTTTCCTCACTGTGCCACATGGCCTTCAAATAAAAGTTGAAAACTTTGAGCTTGGTAACAATTTCTAACAATTTCCTTTAGTTTTCTACAGTGTGTTCTATAAATAGAACCTATCCAGCATTGAGGGACTCTCAGCATGTGGTGAATTCTGGAGCTGCCTCAGTAGAAAGAGGATGTCCACCTGTCAGGGAGAAAGTGGAGAGGATTTCTGCCCTGGGAGGGAGGGTGGACCATCCATATCACTGTCAGTGTTCCCAATCAAATTATAGGGCATACTGGGAAAGTATTACAGTTATTGTAATTGTTTTGACCTCAAAACTCAAATGGAAGGAAGCACAGAAAGGAAGAGAGAAAGAATCTATGCTACAATCCCAGTCATGGGATGGTGAGACAAATGAGGAAATGAGTAAGAGGCAAGGAGAATTTGCTGGTTAATGAACCTGAAGGTGGTGACTTCCAAGATCCCTTCATATTCAAACTATGGCCTAAAATATTATGATTCCAGTCTCCTTGTATGGAGTTCAATTCAATTTAATTCAAGATTGATGTATATCTTTCTGCCGTAAGCAGCTTTCAGATTTTGTACTAAATGCTTTGATTCTCTTGGAACTTTGGGAAGGGTATCTGTCACTTTCCCAGTTTTACAAATGAGTATACCAAGGCTCAGGATGATGAAGTAACTTGCCCTAATAGTTTAGGAAAGCTAGAATGTGGCAGAGCTGATATTTGAATGTAGAGTTGCTAAGTTTAATCTTAATCCTTTTTCCTTTTTCTAGTATAGTAGTGGCTAATAGCTTAAGCTTTGGAGTGGAGAAATCTGAATTTAACCTGGTTCTGTTGTGTTTGTTATGAGGAGGGTAGGTGACTCACTCAAGATCATACAGCAAGTAAGAGCAGAGCAGAGCCTGGAGGCCACATGGGACTGACTGGCAAGCCCATTGCTTTCTTCTGTGCTGCCATACTGCCTCCCTTTTCTTTTATTCCAGGTAAAGGGGCTGAAAGATAACAGCTTGGTGCAGGAAAAAAGCATTGGCTTTGTGGTCAACCAGTCAAACCTGAATTCAAATCTTACGTCTTGCCTTTGGATGGCGCCAATAATAGCTACCATTAATTAAACTCAAATAATACACTCCCTGTGCTACTGTGCTGTATGATTTCTCTCTAACTCTCACAGCAAACAGGCCAGGACATGAGTGAGGAAACCTGGTGTTTGTGTCATGTGATGCCAACATCTCAGGAGGAAGGAGTCTTAGTGATCACCTAGTCCAAAGCCCTTATTTTGCACAGGAAGAAACTAAAGGACAGAGAAGTATTTGTCTAAAGACTCCTAACTGTTCTTCAACAATTATATTTGAACCCAGTTTGTCCAACTCTTGAGCCACAACATTAAACAGTCTGCAAAATACTTTATTGTTACAAAAGGATTATGCATCATGATATCCTCACAATAGCTCTAGGAGGCAGGAAAGTCAGAGACTATCACCTCCAGATGAGGAAACTGAGGCTTAGAAAAGAGTCACATAACTAGTCAGAGGCAGAGCCAAGAATCTGTCCCAAATCTGTGAGAGATCTATAGCCATGCTTGCTTGCTTTCTTTCTCTTTCTCTCTCTCTTTCTTCATCATGATAAGTGTACTCTTAAATCCCTATCACCTATTTCACCCATCCCTCCCCCCAGCTCCCCTATGGTAACCATCAGTTTATTCTCTATAGTTAAGAGTTTGTTTCTTGGTTTGTCTCTCTCTTTTTTTTCCCCTTTACTCATTTGTTTTGTTTCTTAAATTCCACATGTGGGTGAAATCATATGGTATTTATCTATCTCTGACGGACTTACTTCTCTTAGCATTATACTCTCTACCTCTATCCATGTTGTTGCAAATGGCAAAATTTCATTCTTTTTTATGGCTGAGTAATATTCCTAGATAGATAGATAGATAGATAGATAGATAGATAGATAGATAGATAGATAGATCGATCTTACATATTCTTTATCTATTCATCTATCTATGGACACTTGGGCTGCTTCTATAGTTTGGCTATTGTAAATAATGCTGCCATAAATATAGGGGTTCATGTATCCCTTTAAATGAGTGTTTTTGTATTTTGGGGGGATATACCCAATAGTATGATTACTGAATGGTAGAGTAGTTCTATGTTTAACTTTCTAGGACCCTCCATAGGACCCTCCATACTGTTTTCCATAGTGGCTGCACCAGTTTGCATTCCAACCAACAGTACACAGTGGTTCCTATTTCTCCACATCTTTGACAACACTTGTCGTTTCTTGAGTTTTTAATTTTTTTTTTATTTTAGCAATTCTGACTGGCGTGAGGTTTTGATTTGTATTTCCTTGATGATGAGTGATGTTGATTATCTTTTCATGTGTCTGTTGGCCACCTATATATCTTTTTTGGAGAAATGTCTGCTCATGTCTTCTGCCCATGATTCATTGGATTATTTGTTTTTTGGCATTGAGTTATATAAGTTCTTTATATATTTTGGATACTAACCCTTTATCATATATGTCATTTGCAAATATTTTCTCCCATACAGTAGGTTTCCTTTTAGTTTTGTTGGTTGTTCCCTTCTCTGTGTAGAAACTTTTTATTTTGATGTAGTCCCAGTAGTTTATTTTTACTTTTATTTCCCTTGACTAAGAGACATATCTAGAAAACTGTCGCTACAGCCGATGTCAGAGAAATTATTGCTTGTGCTCTCTTCTAGGATTTTTATGGTTTCACATCTCACATTTAGATATTTAATCTATTTTTAGTTTATTTTTGTGTATGGTGTAAGAAAGTGGTCTAATTTCATCCTGGACTTTTGTTTTTGGGGAGTTTTTTGATTACTGATTCAATTTCATTGCTGACAGTTGGTCTGTTCAAATTTTCATTTTCTTTCTGCTTTAGTTTTGGTAGGTTACATGTTTCTAGTAATTTATCCATTTCTTCTAAATTGTCCAATCTGTTGGCATATAGATTTTCATAATATTTTGTTACAATTATTTGTATTTCTGTAGTTTTGATTATTTCTCCTCTGTTTTTAGGGATTTTGTTTATTTGGGCCCTCTTTTTTTTTTAAATGTGTCTGGCTAGAGGTTTATTAGTTTTGTTGGTCTTTTCAAAGACTTAGCTCCTGGTTTCATTGATCTGTTCTTTTTTTTTTTTTTTAATTTCTATATCACTTATTTCTACTCTAATCTTTATTATTTCCTTCCTTTTGCTAGGTTTGGGTTTCATTTGTTCTTCATTTTCTAGCTCTTGGTGTAAGGTTGTTTAGTTGAGATTTTTCTTGCTTCTTGAGGTAGGCTTGTGTTGCTTTAAACTTCCCTAGACCACTTTTGCTTCATCCCAAAGTTTTGGACCCTTATGTTTTCATTTTCATTTGTTGCCATGTAATTTTTTATTTCTTCTTCGATTTCTTGGTTGACCCATTTATTATTTAGTAGCATGTTATCTAACCTTCATGTATTTGTGCTCTTTCCAGATTTTTTCTTGTGCTTAATTTCTAGTTTCATAGCATTGTGGTCAGAAAAGATGCATGGTATGATATATATAGATATAGATATATAGATATAGATGATATAGATATAGATAGATATAGATATAGATAATTTGTTGAGACTTGTTTTGTGACCAATATGTGATCCCTTCTGGAGAATGTTCCATGTACACATGAAAAGAATGTGTATTCTGCTCTTTTAGGATGGAAAGTTCTGAATATATCTGTTAAACCCATCTGGTTCAGTATGTCATTCAAAGCCATTGTGCCCTTGTTGATCTGTCCATTGACATTAAGTGGGGGTGTTGAAGTCTCCTACTATTATTGTATTACTATATATTAGTTCCTTTATGTTTCTTATTAACTGTTTTATGTATTTGGGTGCTCTCATATTGGTTGCATAAATTTTTGCAATTGTTATATCCTCTTGATGGATTGGCCCCTTTATTATTATAGTGTCCTTCTTTGTCTCCATTTACAGTCTTTGTTTTAAAGTCTATTTTGTTCAGTATAAGTGTTGCTATCCTAGCTTTCTTTTCATATTGATTTACATGCTAAATATTTCTCCGTCCCCTCATTTTCAATCTTCAGGTTTCTTTCAGTCTGAAATGAGTATCATGTAGGCAGTATAGATGGGTCTTGGTTTTTTTTCCCCCCCAATCTTTCACCCTCTGTCTTTGGATTGGAGCATTTAGTCCATTTACATTCAAAGTAATTATTGATAGATATGTATTTATTGCCATTTTATTACTTGTTTTGTGCTTGTTTCTAAAAATTTTCTCTGCTCCTTTCTTCTGTTGCTCTCTTTCATGGTTTGTTGGACTTCTTTAGTAATATGCTTGGATTTCTTACCTTTTAATGTTTACATATCTATTACTCATTTTTGATTTGTAGTTACTATTACATTTCTATATAACATCTTCTGCATATAGCAGTCTCTATTAAGTTGATGGTCATTTAAGTTTGCACTGATTCTTTACTCCTCTCCCCTCCACATTTTAGGTATATGGTGTCATATTTCATATGACATATGTCATTATTTATATATTGTCTTTTTTGCATTGCATATTTTTTCCTGCTTTGTCAAAGATTATTTGACCATAGAGTTGAGGGTCCATATC